AATTTAGTGCAGTGAACATTCAGATTTGTTTGAACAACCTTCTAAGTAAATCGTAATCTTTTAGCTAGGCTTCTTCTAGATTTTTTATTTGTTATGGTAATGATGTTTTTTTTAGGTCTACAATGTCACGGACGAATCGTATCTTTTAAGAAAATTTGTAACATTTTAACAATTGAGCCAAAGCAAAGCAATTTGACTGGTTATGATTATGTTAGTTTTCACATGAAACACACGGATTTCACGATATGTTTTTAAAGATTAGATGAAATGAAAGTTTTTGTTTTCTCCAAAAGAATTAGCAAGTGGTTAAATGCTTTTTCATGTTTTGAAGATGTCATTAAACGCTGCGTTTAAATATATTCCCACAAGAGAATCCCTTAAACGCTGCGTTTAATATAAAAGTGAAAGATATAGAAACGCACCGTTTTCAATATGTACTTTTGTCAAAAGAACCCCAAAACGCAACGTTTAGCGGAGAAATGATTAATTATAGGAATTATAAAAAAAACAAACAAATTCGGGAAAAATTACTTTTGATCGATCGTAGTGACGATGATGATCGGTGAGGATGAATCTATCGCACCGTGTCGGTTCGAGATTCCAGACGGCGAGGATCGACGGTTCCTCCTCCGGTAAGACCTCGTTCGCCGTAAACTCCGGCAAAATGTCTCCGGGATCTATTCCGGTGCGGCGAGCTGCTGTTTTTCTAGTCGCCATCTCCATCTCTTGCTTCCTTCTTTACAGAGCCGCTGATTCCTTGTCTTTCTCCCCTCGCATTTTCAATTTCTCTGCTTATCTGGTTAGTTTCCCTCTTCTCTACCTTCATGATGTTCGTCGGAATCAAAGTACGATTCGAGATTTTGGGATCGATTGATCTTCCATGAACTTGCGCTTTCGCTGATCACCTGAAATTAGTTTCTATATTGAACTTATTATTTCGAAAATTGGAACCTGGAAATCTCCGAATATCTTTGGAATTGTATGGAGTGAAATTAGAAATGGTCATAGTTTTTTTTCTGGTGCTTGGAGTTTGCATGTGGTTTCTTCGTTTTTCAGCTTCGATTATGATGAATTTGGAACCAATGGATCAAATAAGTGTTTCTAGTATCACTGTGATGTGCTACAAGTTCAAACAGTTTCTGGTATATTCTTGAATTCGCTTGGTGAATATGCAATCCAAATGCTAGGTTTGGTTTTATGACAGGATAATGAGGAACCTACTTTGGAAAATGTTCTGCGTAAAGCTGCAACGAGAGAAAGGACAGTCATTTTGACAACTTTGAATGCAGCTTGGGCTGCTCCTGGATCTGTTATCGATCTCTTCTTCGAGAGTTTTAGAATCGGGGAAGGAACAAGCAAACTCTTGGATCATTTGGTGATTGTTGCATTGGATGCTAAGGCGTATTCGCGTTGCTTAGAACTGCATAAGCATTGTTTTAGTCTTGTAACTGAAGGAGTTGATTTTTCCCGTGAAGCCTATTTTATGACTCGGTCTTACTTGAAGATGATGTGGAGAAGGATTGATCTTCTGAGGTCTGTTCTTGAAATGGGATACAATTTTGTTTTCACGGTAAATTGTCCCGCATCTTCTCTTTCAGTTAGGTACAAGCATTCACATTAGGGAACTGATGAAAGATTTGAGTGAAACTCTAGTGTTCTGGTTCTATCAAGTGATCCGTTCGTTTGTTTTTCTTTCCTTTTCTCCAGGATGCTGATGTGATGTGGTTCAGGAACCCATTTCCACGGTTTTACAGGTATGCGGATTTCCAGATTGCTTGCGATCATTACCTCGGTAGATCATACGACCTGCATAATAGGCCAAACGGAGGATTTAATTTTGTGCGGTCCAACAATCGAACTATACTCTTCTACAAATACTGGTATGCTTCGAGACTGAGATTTCCGAGATATCACGATCAGGATGTCCTTAACGTTGTGAAAACAGAGCCATTTGTTTTCCGCATTGGGTTAAAGATGAGGTTCTTGAACACGGTTTATTTCGGCGGTCTATGTGAGCCTAGCAGGGATATGAACCTGGTTCGTACAATGCACGCAAATTGCTGCTACGGTATGGAAAGTAAGCTTCACGATCTCAGAATCATGCTTCAAGATTGGAAAGATTTCATGTCTTTACCACTTCATCTAAAACAATCCTCTGGTTTCTCCTGGAAAGTCCCTCAGAATTGCAGGTACTCTTCACTTCGTTTTAAATTATCTGCCTTTTAAACATTTCCCAGTCTCTTTGTGGTTCTGCGATCACTTATTATTGATTCGTGATCATGAATCTTTTTTTTTTCTTTTTTCCAGTCTTGATTCTCTTCGAGGCTATGATGATTTTTTGGATGATGATGATGAAAGCGATCCACCAGGAGAATCTCAAGACTGAAAAGTGTGTGAGAGTTTTTGTATATATTCTTGAGAACTTTTTTTTTTGAGAATGAAAGAAGAAAAATAGAGTTTTTGAAGATAAAACACAGAAACTGACGTGCACAATCTGCATGTTAAGAAAAAACAAAAGAGAACATACATATACACTCGTGCCAATACTCGTATGCTAATGATCTATATATGATTTATGATATATTTGGTTGAAAAAGTAAAACGTACAAGTTGTAAAAAATAGTAAACAATTTGTTAAAACTGGGCCAAAATATCTGTTTAGTTGAGCTCGCTATCTACTTTTTCTGTTAAACAATCCAACTAGAAATTAAGCTACCCTTGTAATTAAAACACCGAGACTTTAGTGGTTGAATCGATTAATCGCATTCA